GGAAATCCAGCCCCTGAGAACAATCTTAAAGCCCTGGAGTAACCAGTGTGGAAAAGGGGAAGGACCCAGAGTTTCCAGCCAGGATGGAGGAAGAGCTGAACATCTCACCTGGTACCACACGGGACATTTTTCACCTCGTCCGTCTGCAGCGTGGTCTGGAGGGGGGGGGATTGAAGGAAAAGAGGTTTAAAGGGAGGGATTTGCGCCGGGAAAATCCCCGCGGGGCTCCCCCGGGGGAGCCTCCCAAGACAGAGCTGGACCCGCGGCGCTCGGCCCCTCGCTCGGGGCTCAGCGGGGCCGCCCCGAGAGCCGCCTCCCCCCGGTACCGGGCACCGCCCGGCCCCGCCCGACCCCCGGGGCTCCCCCGGGCCCAGCAGCACCTGCACTGACTTGTAGGACGTGATGAAGGGCAGCATGAGGTGGAAGCCGGGCCCGCTGGTGGAGGTCAGCAACGCGCCGCCGCTGCGAGAGAAGGAGACGGGGGGGGGGGGCAGAGAGAGAGAAGCGTGAGCGGGAGAAGCCCGGTTCTCCCGGCGCGCGGCGGGGCGGAGCGGGGCCGCCTCCTCACCGGTAGTAGACGCCGATGTGCCCCTCGTCGATCTTGTGCACGGCCGAGAGCAGCGCGGCGGCCGCGACCCCGAGGGCGAGCGCGGCGATGGCGCCGAGCTGGGCCATGCCCGGCACCGGCACCGGCGGCGCGCCAGTTGCGTCATCACCGCGCGACCGCCGGTGCCGCCGCCGGTGTCGCCGCCAGGGGGCGGTGGAGGAGCGGCGGAGCAAGAGCCGGAGGCCGCGGGTTCGAGACCCGCCCCCGACCCGCGCGGCGGGACCGCCCCCCGCCCCCCCGAAATTCCGCGCTCTCCGAACTCTCCACGCTCCCAAAACTACGCGCCCTCAAAACTCCGCGCTCTCCCCATCCCTAAAACTCCGCATTCCCCAAACCCCCCCGCACCCCCAAAACTCCGCACTCCCTGCACCCCCAGATCCAGCTCCAACGGAGAGCAAAGGAGTAGCTGCTGTTCGAATTTTTATTTATTTGTTTATTTGTTTTCCGCATTGTTCAAATTCAAAACGTGTGACTGTTAAAAAAAAACTATATTTTTTCATTCAGGTTGTTCTCCAGTATTTAAAAAAAAAAAAAAGTGTAAAAACGTGTAATAAACATCAATAAATTTGATCTTCGAGCTTGGTGGATCTCTGGGGTTGTACAGTGGAGGGTTCAGCGCCCGTTTAGGGATAAGGGATGGAATTTGTCAATCCGAATTTTACGGCTCTTAAACAAGCGCGAAAGGGGCGCTGGGGATGAAAAACACCCCGTAGCTGGTGTTTTCTTAAAGGCGTTTGCCCAGATTTAAGGCCTTGATAAAATGTATTAAATCTTTAAAGGTTTTAATGAATCTAGTATGTGTTTCATAAATCACGAGCCCCCACTCAGCCCCTCTCGGTTTAATAAGGGTAAACTAGGAAATTGCTGTGAGCTGGAGCAAAATACATCCATGGAATATTGAAAAGTAATAGATTTTTAAATGTGGGGTGTTCTGGCTTGCAGGAGAGGTTTTGCTTCATAATACCAGAGCTATATCACTCCCCTGAACGGGAAACCAGCTGCGGCCATGTGTTTAACAGCATCAAGATGTGAACCAGCACAAAGGTAAATATTATTTGTAATAATCCTTAAAAAAAAAAAAA